AATACTGAGTTCATGAATAGCAAGCATACAATGTTTTCAATGAAAATATGGCCTGGAAATGCAGTGAAATATCTCTTTCCATTTAGCACTTAAAGTATTTCTCAACTACAAATAAAACTACAATCGCTGGAACACTGCGAAGCACGCAATATAGTGCTCCATTTCAATCGTACAATGATGGAGATAAAGGCGAAATAAATCTGAATTCTGATACATCTGTTCAAAGAGCATCATAAAACATTCAAGGGGTGCTCGCATCCGTTCAGGAGACGCCTCAGTATGCAGTTTGCTCGTAAATGCACTCAAGAGGAGACATAAAATGCACTACTAGTTAATGGCAATGTGGGTGGAGATTAAAAGTAAATCAAATGTTATAGCTTTGTCTGTGACTCATTATCAGACCTAAGTAGTACTTGACCTTACGTATTCTACCAGCAAAATAAAGAGGTTTAAACTCTATGTGGATAGATTTAGTAGTATTCTGTCTTACACTGTAACTTTAATAACTTAGGTTTCACCGTTAGACGACGTCGTTATTATTGCGACGGCCTTTTCTTAGAACTCTGTAATTTCTTCCAATTATTGGAAATCTACTTATAGGATTCATCTTTAAAGCTTTAAAGACTATCCCCTTTATTATTTGACTTAATAAAGACTGCTAAAAACAAGACCTGGCAACAACAAAAAGCTCGTATTTAATTTGAAACTTACATGGTCATTCGTGAGTCAATCTCATACAATTGCGAGGCGTTTGAAATCGTGAGGTGATTTTTGCGAAATAGGACAGTCGAGTTATCTGTGACTCAGCGATTAATCTAATAAGATAAGCTGTGTCAAACCACGCTCCGTTTGATTTTAATCTCAAGAAGACTGGATACATTAATATTTGCACGCGAAAGCAGGCGGTTAATTTTATGGGTAATAAGGTTTTGCTTGATGTTTAACTCTGCTATATCATTGTTATTGTTTTGATAAATTACTTTTTGAGAGCCTATAATTTTTTTACTAACTTCATTAATGAAGTAACAAATTTTATTAAATGCGATAGGTTTGTCTCTCTTTTTATGTTAATGGAGGCAAACGGGCAGGAGGCTCATCTGATGTTAAGTAGTATGGACCGCCCATGGACACTCACATTGCCAGAAGTAAGTGTGCGGCCAGCCTTTTAAGAATTGGTACGCTCTTTTCTTGAAGGACCCTAAGTCGAATTGGGTCGGAAATACTTCAGTGGGCAGCTGGTTCCACATAGTTAAAATTAGCTACTAATAAAATATACTCCCAATTTATAGTTCATATAATATGCAATTAAATTTATGTTCTTTAGTATATCTTAGTAAATAATTCTAATGCTAATGTGTATATGATATATTATAATATATATAATATTTTCCGTTTTCCGACGCCGTACCAACATAATTCAGTATTAAGTAACACTTATAACAGGTAAACATATTTGTATTACATCAACACCAAAGATAACAGAATATTTTGATTTAAGGAACCGCCCTTCAAAAACGAAATTCAATGTAAATATTTTATTATAGAGTATAACGGAAGTCGCCGTCCCCATATCTAACAGGATCATAAAAAATAACGACCCGACAAAGCTTTCTTGTTCCAACAATGTATCAACAAGGTGCAAACCCAAATCCAAAAATTACCTCCGAATTCTCACCCTAGAAAAAATACCGACCACACCTACAAAAACTCCTTGAATAGCCAAGAATTGTAACACGATACATACAAAGAGTCGTCGAGTGCCCGTCAAGAGGTTCCCAAACAAGATAATCCCTTTGTTAGTCGAGTTATAATGGCATCAGAGTCTTCTATTATTTTCTGTTTCACAGCAGCTGCGATGTTTAAGTTTCGTATTTCAAAGTTAATGTTGCTTTAATTTCTCTTGCACTATCCTGTTGCAATGAAGTTGCTATTAACAGTTTATTGTATATTTTAAATACACTTTAAGTGGTAAGAAAAGTTAAAGATCTACGCGAAACGGGCCGAGTGTGTCATCGTTTTGACATCAAGTGGGGACTTGGCAAAAAACAACGGAAGTTTTACGAAAGATGATAAAATAAAAATCTAATATTTGGTCGTTATTTTGGACTATTTCTCGGATACTGTTTCTTCTCATCAAATTAAAATACGTGTAAATAACAGATTCGGTGGAAAGCCAAGTAAATGAATTTCGTTTAAAATACTCTTTTTGTAAACGTTATTAAAGTCAAATGAATATTTTGTTCTTTAAAAGCGAAATATAACATTCTTTAGCTAATTTAAAGCTTATGCAATAATAAAAATTGTATGACCTATATGAACATAGATGGATAGATTTTTCATGGAAAATATCGACCAAAGCAGCCATAGTACAAAAACACGGATTTTTAATTCTACTCTTATAACGGCCTTATTAATAAAGGCAGGCATAGTAACAAACACGGATATTTAATTCTCTTTAGATCTCTTCTTAAAAGGACGACCAAATCTTAATCCAAAATAAAAAAATACGAGACGCAGCGCAGCGATGAATAATATACGCTACACATTTCGCAAAAATTTCTTTTTGAACACAAACTTCTCAAACGCAAATAGTTTTATATCAGTTTGCTTAACTGAACACACAAGGAATCTAGAACTTTTAAATTCTAACCACAATTCCGAACTCACGGAAGAAAAATAAAATTCTGAAGACAAGTTAAATGGGATAGTCATGTTGGGAAGTGGCTGGCTGCGTCACGATTATTTTTTGCCGTCTCCACTTCACCTTTCTAATCTATTACTTTTTTCAACAACGGATTTAGGGCTCCATTAATACCTCTTCTTTAAGTACTTAAAAAGGGAATCAGAATGTGTTGAATAAAAACTTACTGAAGTCGTGATTTAAGAAGCTGCACCATTTACACCGGTATTATATAAATGACAAAGATCTCTCTAAAAAATTATTCAGTTTTTACGCTATATAAAACACAGTATTTCTATAAATTTTTCTACCATTATATGTATTCTTTTTTTCGTTATTTTATGTTACAGGAGGCAGACGGGCAGGAGGGTCATCTGATGTTAAGTGATGCCGCCGCCCATGGACAATCGCACTGCCAGAATGCTCACAAGCGCGCTGCCGGCCTTTTAAGAATTGGCTCTCTTTTCTTGAAGGACCCTAAGTCGTTACCTACCCTAATATTGGCTTGGAAATACTTCAGTGGGCAGCTGGTTTCACATAGTGGTGGTGCGCGGCAGAAATTGCCTTAAGAAACACTCATTTGTGGAACGATGGACGTCAAGGTGATACGGATGGTATTTTGTATTCTGCCTTGACGTCCGATGATGAAACTCAGCTGCAGGTATAAATCCGAACAGCTCTTCTTATATATAAAAACCAAAATTTAGCCTGGGTGATTTATAAGCCGAAGAATAATTTGTTTTGGAATTAGCAATCATGTAAAATCTTTAGTTGTATGCTCTGTATTTTTTAATGCAGGATCAGCGAGAGAAGCCTCTCTTATAATTAAAGATTATTTGGAAGCACAGATGTTTAAATTTCCACACTAAATTGGATATAATAGTGCAAAGTTATCCGTTTATTTGACCTACTTACAATCTCTTGCCGCTTCGAAGTTCCTACAATAATTATTACAATGCGGTTTCTTTTAGTACAAGAGTATTAGAGATCGTACTTATTGTTTGGACTGCCAGATAGAAATGTGGCTATAGTTATCGTAATAAAAGACGCGATTAGGTTGCTGTACAGATATGAGATACGTAACATTTTTCTTTTTATTAATTACGTGTTCGTACAAAATTAATACAACTTTTCATATAATACCAATAAATAAAAAATATTTTTTCTATGTTAGCCTACGAACTTTTCAGCTATAGAGACTTTTGAGAGACCAGCCCGAGTTTTGGTGTTATGTATAGATATTTTGAAAACTATAAGTCACATTATGTATAGTCAAAGTTCATCGGTACATGTTATTGAGATATGGATATCAACGCATTACAGAACAATTGTTGATAGGAATTGGAAGGCGATTTAATTGTTTTAATAACCCGTAATTCGATTAATATATTTAACCATTTTTCAAAACTTCGGGGCCTTTGAAATTCTCATGCATAGAAATGGTACTAATAATATTGATGTCATGTATTAACTGTACTGTTGAGAGTTTAACTCCACCTACTTCAAAGTTGAAGAAAACGAATCAAGGACTTTTTTGATGACATCGTACCTTTTCTTATCTCGTTGAAGATTAGGTGCCAAGTCTCTTAGTGAAATTTCGGCGATATCTCTTAATTTTTTTACCAACCCTCACACTTTTTACGAGTTTAAGTGGGTCTGAAGTTATCTTGGGCAGACATCACAATTTTTTGCAGACATTCGAGTTTTGGGGCTAATAAGTTAGAACTTTGTTTTAAAAAGTATCATTGCCAAAGGGGCTTTTTAAGCTCGCAAAAATATGATTTTAGACGTAATTGATTCGAACATTTGTACATCATAATTAAATCATTTTCGATGAAAACTTTTCACCTTTCAATATAAAATTGTTATAAAAAAATCAGTGGCGCTACAACCTCTTTAGGTCTTGGCCTCAGATTTCTGAATTTGTTTCATGATCATTTTTAAATCTAATAGGGAAGTAGGTGATCAGCCTTAAGTGCCTGACACACGCCGCCGACTTTTTGGGTCTAAGACATATCGGTTTCCTCACGATGTTTTCCTTCACCGTTCGAGTAAATGTTAAATGCGAACATAGAAAGAAAATCTATTGGTGCACAGCCGGGGATCGAAGCTGAAGTATGAGAGTCGCACGCTGAAGCCAAAAGGCCAACACTGCTCATAAAATTGTTTAAAAATAAAGCAAAGTAGCTAATCTAACAAACTTATTTTTAGTTGTTTCTAGAAACAATTGTTACGCTAAGACACAAATCTACAATAGACAATACGAAAATAGCCTAAAACTAGTTAAATTATCATTAAAATCAGTCAATCTTTAACTTACCGTGTTTATCAGCAACCACTGCGACCACCCATAGCAAGAGCAGTGCGCTCCACGCCATGACTACTCAACTCCGGGCATCACCTAAAACAATAGAATGTTGAATGACCAATATTTGTCGAGGCTGGGCCAATGTTTGTACAACCATTATAAATTAGAGCTTTTTATTTGTTAAGTTAACAGGTACAAATGGTCTGAGCTAATTGAGTTTTAGTTTACGAATTGTAGGGAAGCAAACAATGGGTAAATGATAATTTTATTCAACGGTTTTAGTAAACTACCACTAAGAATTTTCAAAGTTATTTTGAGTACAGTATTACTAGTTAGTTAGCTAGTTAGAATTTCAAAGCAATGATGCTTGAATAGTCAAACATAGCTGAATAAAGAAATTCCTGATATGTTTATAATATACTAGCTGCCCCCGCGAACTTCGTTTCTCCTTAATGTGATTTTACTTAGCCTACCTTTTAAGTACATACCAACATGGAACATTTTTCTATGCTACCATAGAGACTGTTCGATTTTCTGAAATGAAAACCTCAGATTTCAAGTCATAAGATTTTAATAAAACAATAAAAAATAGGGGTTTATCGTAGAGGTATGAAAATTAAGCGTTATATATGTATTTTTTATGCATATATTAAAAACAATTTTTTTTGTCGAATAATAAAATTTTGGGGTGGACACCCCTTATGAATTAGGGGTTTTAGAGATAGATAGTAGCCAATTCTCAGTCTTACTGAATATGCATATTAAATTTCATAAGAATAGGTCCAGTCGTTTCGGAGGAATATGGGAACGAACATTATGACACGAGAATTTTATATACGTATAAATTATATATAGAGATATCGTTTGAAATAAACAAAGACGGAAAGAAATACATAACTTTAATAAAAACGAAAATGTCAAAATATGCAATACCTACCAACAAAAATACACAATTTTAAACACAGTTTAACATTGAAAAAAGGAATCAAGACAATACTAACCTTATTTCTAAAGCTGTAACAATGTGGTTTGGTTAGCAACTGCGTAACAAATTAGTTCCTTTCGAGTAAATAAAAAACAAACAAATTTGAAAAAGAAATATGCCCTCGAAATAATAGAACAGGGGCTAATGGATTCAGCGAGCGTGAAATTTTAGATAAATCTCAGTTTTTATTTGGAACCGCTTTCAAAAAGAACAACATTGAATCTCGACTTGTATTAAGAGGTTGGTATATATTCAAAAAACGTGTTTAAAGGGTGAGAAAAAGAGAGTCGAGTTTTGTCAAATGTGGTTTTAAAAATGCCCGTTTTTTGATCTCTCAAACCTACTGACTTTACTAATTTGAATATAAAAAAATAAACAATTTGAAAGTTGATCTGAAGTTTTAGAAAGCTGGAAAATTTTTAAAACATACGTGAGGTCCTGAAGAACTACTAACTTAATCTAGCAGATCACATCACCAATTAGGTACCTACTTAATCCTATAAAAAAATTCACGAAATGCTTTGTGAATTTCACTTTACATCTAAGCAATTCCTCTATTTTACAATATATATATATATATATGTATTTATTTCGTAATCCTACAGCTAACAAAATGTATATTAACAAATAATTACACTAAAAAATACCCAAGGATGGAATACATAATATTTACAAAAAAGTTCACACATTTACAAAAGGGAAAAACAATAATAATTCAATACATTTAACTAAGTATAAATACCTAATTTGGCTGTGATGTCTGATATAATATTATAAAGTCATTTTTATGTCTTTAATGAAGACATAAAAAAACTACTGCATCTATTTTGAAAGAGATGAGGGAGACAGAACTGTTCTTAGTTCAGTGTACAGTGCAGTTTTATAAGCATTATTATAAGAAATCTGCTATCGAAGAGAGAAAAATGTGATCTTAATAGAATATTACTTCCTTTAAATCATAATTAATCTCTCATCATAAGTGGGTCATTCAAGCCGTGTGAGGTCTAACAAGGTGTCAGATAACCGCACAGTAGCGTTTAAGAGCTATAACATCATCTGATAGGAAGATAAGACCCAAGATTAATGTATTAAAGCATATTACGGGTGATTTATACAGCTCTTTTGAAGATGACGACATTATCTACCATTTACAAATAGAGTCTTTTACGCGAGGATGTACCTAGATTATTATGTTCTGTCGTTTGAATGAACCGGAATGATAACATAATTTAAAGAAAACACTTTTTTACCGGATTGAAGTTATAAATTTACAATTATTTTACATGATTTTTAATTTTTCCGACGTTTCGAGTGCTTTACAGCGTGCGTGGTCACGGTGACTGAAGACAAAAGGTGTTAAATGTCAAAAAGTATCACAGCTGTAGAAAAAGTTGTATTATCTGTATTTATTTCCCCGGAGTTGGTATCGACTAAAAGTAATTTAATTGTAAATTTATAATAATACAATAACTTCAATCCGGTAAAAAAGTGTTTTCTTTAAATGTTTAAAAGTTATGTCAGTAAAAGACAATACTATGATAACATAAATTTAAAATTGGTGCAAGGCAAATTTCAGCATGTTTAATCTACACAATGGGAAAACAATCTGAAGAAATTGGTGACGTGACAGTTGACTATTGTCGGTGAATCCCAAGGGTTGACCAAGACTTATCAAGGGCAGTTGGTGAGGCTAGCTTAGATTTAGGGGATTATCTGTTGTGTGATCATTTGGTTTCTTAACAGGTAGCTCGAGTTATCAGCCTAATACTCGCTGTTGAAATTTGGGTCTAAGGAATACCGGTATCCTTACGTTTTGACCGTACTAGTTAGTGTTAAATGCATAAACAAATGTACAGCCGGGATTTGAACCTCAGGTATGAGAGTCGCACGCTGTAGCCACTAGGCGATGCTCTCAATATGTCAGACATCAAATTTGTAAGGTTAGTTTCGTTTATTTTTAATAACGACGAACTTATACACTCCACATATGAAAGTATTCAATGTAATTTGGTATAACTATTTATATCGTACAAAAGGCTTTTAATGCGCTACCTGAAAGCTCTTAAAGCGTTTAACTGTAAACCCACAATTTACGTAACTTTCCCGTCATTAGTTGGAGTTATGTACACAACGGAATTACTGAGCAAACCTATCGGTTACTCGCCTTTTATGGCCTGCGAAATTTGATCAGATAATTTTAACAATAGGCGACGATTTAAATAAGGAAAGATAAATTGTTTACCTTAAGGCATTAAATGGTATAAATCCTTAATATCTTTGGTTTATTCATACACATTGACTTCTCTGGTGCTTTTATCTCTCTTTCAGCACGGGTTTTCTGGTAGAGATCGTAAGGCATAGGGCGGCACTCATTACCGAGTTTTATGCTTAGTGATTTTTAGTATTAAATTTGAATTTAAACAGATATTAACACGAGTTTGTGTCTTGATTATATCCATTTAAGAAGTTTTTAAATGTGTAAATGTTGGAATATATAGCTGGTCGTTGGCGCTTAGTTAATGTCTGAATGTATGGTATAAAAACTGTTGACGGGGATTATAAAAGGATTTATGTCTCTGAGTGAATAGAACTAATTTCAGTGTACGACCAACCAGGATCCAGAAGATAAACCACTCCTTATATGGAAATTGTATTCGTTTTTACAACAAACTCCCAAACGACATTAGAGAATTATCAGAAAATAAATTCAAAGCCCTTGTTTAACGTAAATTAATCAATAAAGCTTTTTTATAAATTTGACGAATACTTAAATGATCCTAGGCCTTGGGATTGATTTGCTTCAGTTCAAACAATTTGTATGACTCAAAACTTAGCGATTAAAAAGAGTGGCGGAACGTTTCTTGCCAGTTCTTCTTGCCTGATCTACGCCCTTGACTTGCAAACTGGTAGGTAGTAAATGTATATTTACAATTAATTTAACTTCTTTTTTGACGTTCATAAGTGTAGGTACTTGTTTAGCTATACGAATAAAGATATTTTAAGTTTGAGTTTGAGAATAATAAAACAAACTCCTAACATAAATAAAATTTTGCGAGTTAAAAAGTGCAAAATTTCGCCGTAGACTAGAATTTTTAAACAGTGTTGAATTAATGTGGATGCAAAATTTCTAAGCCTAGAGACATGAGTTAACGTCCGCATCTTCGCCAGCAAAGATTTTTTGCAACATCTTCAACAACAACTTTGAATTTCAATCAATTTAAATAAAGGCATAATGTTAACTTGATAAGTTCAGCCATAAGAGCTAGAACAGGTGTGATAGACATTCTCACGAAGATAGACCAAATGAAATGGAGATGGACGGGTCATATGATACGGAGCTCCCATGAAAAATGGAGAAAAATATTGACGAAATGATACCCTAGAGACGGAAAACGAAGAAGAGGCCAACCACGCAAGAGATGGGAGGACGAACTGAAACTAACAGCAGGCTACAACTGGAGAAGAGTCGCTAAAGATAGAGAACAGTGGAAAGGGTTAGAGGAGGCCTTTGCCAAGAGGCACACCGAACTCCGAGATATACTGGAGTGAAAATATATTAAAGTTCACATATAAAGGCTATATTATTATATTATTATTATAATATAATGATAAATATAAAAATCTGTTTGGTATTATTTCCATAGAGTAAGCGCCCGGGGTCTTCATTTTAAGGATAGGTATATTAACTTATTAAAAACCAATGTTTCTCTATGAACGTTTTGTGACTGAAACAATGTTTATTAGGAAAATATACTTACATATATTATAACAACGTATATCAGAAATCTTAAAAACGTATATTTATGCAATATGTCATATCCTCTGCTATTACAATTTCATAGCTGATAGATCAAAGGAGTCGACAATAACAGTTTATAAAATTCCTTGCGAGTATAAAATAACATTGTAACATCAAAGTACAATCAACCCTTTATGAATCTAATTGTGTTTCTATTTGTTTCTTGTAGTATCAGTTCGAAAATGTCAACTTCGAATAACATACTGAAAAAAATTAGTTTGCCTTTACTTCGATATCGATTTTTTTGTTTCTTTTAATTTCATGCACCAGATATTGTTAGTTAATA